GTACATGAGTACATATGTTGGATTTGAATAGAGGTGAAACGAATATGTGATTTAATTTCACGTGTATTATCAAGGATTTGTGCAATCGCCCACACGAGCAACTTAGTTGGTTCATAAGTGATAAATTGTTAGCAAGAACACGGGATTGAACCCTGACAAAAGAGCTGTCAAAACGGGTCGGCAGCGCGGGGCAAGTTAAAGCCCATTGGCCCGGTGGGGTGGGCCAAAGAAGCCCGCTCTTTGGCGAGCCTAGGTTTTGCTGGTCCGCCCTAGCCCGTGGTCTAGGCGGGCGCTCGCCACCCGACCTTTGCTTATTTGTTTTTTTGTTTTTTGTTTTCTTTTTTGTTTGTTTTCCTTGTTCTATACGTTGTTAGTTTCTTGCTTTGTTAAGGTTTACACTTTTACCATTTGTGCACTATAAAAATAATTGAAATAACTTGTTACATAAGTACTAATTTAACTTTTAAAACTTTAAGCTATAATTCTAAAATTTAAAAAAAAAAAAAAAAAAAAAAAAAACCGCTCTTTGGCAGACCTCTATTTTTTAAACGCACTACCTAAGTAGGGAGCAAGGCAGGCCGGCCCCGCGGGCAAATCTCGTTTTGACAACTCTACCTTGCTACCACGGTGTGGGAGTTACAACCAATGTGGTAGGCTCTTTATGGGCACCAGGAACTAGTCCTCCCACCTAATGGGCGGCAAAGTCACTGTAATTTACCATTCCATTATCATGTCAGGCGTGAGTTTAGAGGCAAGCAAATATCACCTTTTGTGGGCAAAGATTTGTGCAATTTATCGTTAAATGATACCCCATAATGTAGCAGAGTTAATTCCACCAGAGGTCCCTTGTCTTTGTTGGCAATTCCAAATTTAGTCCTAGACTATCGTTTTTGCCATTTAACATCACAGACTTTCATTTTTTTGGACATTTTTAGTCAAAATCATAACTTTTCCTATTTTTAGCAAGGACATTTTTGTATGTTCATATTTTTTTTTCGTTATTTTTTTGGTTTCAACCAGCTTAATTGGTTTAGAAATTTAGGTAACCTCTGATTTTTAGTAACCATAATTTTTCAACCACGTTTTAGTAAAGTTCTAAACCAATTAAACCAGTTAAAACCGGAAAAATAACAAAAGAATAATATGAAGAGACAAAAATTCTCTTACTAAAAATAGGAAATGTCATGAAAAGGATTAAAAGTGTCCAAAAAATTATAGTCTGGGATGTTAAATGGTAAAAACGATAGTCTGAGACTAAATTTAGAATTACCACCAAAGACAAGGGACTTCTGGTGAAATTAACTCTAATGTAGCATAATCCTTATTCACATAAGTGTATGAGTGTATCATTAATTTGATTAATTGATGATATTTGAATTTGATTTATTCGGAATTCATATAAAGACTTGATATGATTTAATGCTATCTAGTTGGTTGTTGGTATAAAGTAACAGTAATTATGATATTACGGAATATTTAATAGAACTTGAGTTAATGCACACATAGTGATTTAATTTCATGTGTATTTTCAAGGATTTGGGGAATTTATCATTAATGATACCCCATAATCTAGCATGCATAATCCTTATTCACATATTGATGATATTTGATTTTGATTTATTCGGAATTTATATAAACACTTCATATATATGATTTAAAATAAAATAGTCGGTGTAACGTAACAATAATTATGATCGTATTGAATAAACATATGTGATTTAATTTCATGTGTATTTTCCGGGATTTATGCAATTTATCATTAAATGATACCCCATAATCTAGCATAATCCTTATTCACTAAGTTTTATTTGAATTTGATTTATTCGGAAATTATATAAAGGCTTCATATGGTTTAATGCTATGTAGACATGTTTTTTTTTTTTTGAAAATCTATGTAGACATGTAGTTGGTATAAAGTAACAATAATTATTATCATATTGAATAAAACTTGATTTAATACTACACAAATATATAAATATATAAATATAAATAAATACATACATGTATACATACGAACACACACATACACACATATATCACTGTTGGAAATTATGAAATTTCTGACCACTTGAAAGTGATCTTAAATGAAGTCGAAAGCCTTGTTCCGACCACTTTTGGTATTCGGAAAAACCTTTGTTGCTATTTTCGACCACTTTTTACTTTCGACTTGATTTAAGATCACTTTCAGGTGGTCGGAAGGTCCATAATTTCCAGCAGTGTATACACACACACAATAAAACTTAATTCATAAAATTTTACTTAATGCAATATGAATCCCTTTTCTATGGCTTCCTTCCCATCCCAAAGAAATTCAATTTTAAATTGATTAATAATAACATATACTCAAATATCTGACAATACTATAACGTATAACGTATGGCATATCATCATTGTGAGATGTACAAAGTTTGACTAACCTATCTCATATAATATAATATTCATTATTTTTTTTTAAACGTATAACGTATGACATATCATCATTTTAAGATGTACCGTTTAACTCTTATTCAAAAAAAAAGTATTTGACTTAGAGTTTTATTGATTAAATCTAATTAATTATGTATGTTTTAAAATTTTCATATTTATATTATTAAAGACGACAATCCAACTCAAAGACATAATTCTTTTAAAAATCTAAATACACTTGTCAGTTTTCTTAAATATACCAAAAAGAAAAAAGAACAAAATTTTCAAACATTCCTTGTATAACATAAACCCAAAAAAAAAAAAAAAAACAAAAAAAAAAACAAAAACAAAAACAAAAATAAAAAAAATTGTGTAATTAATTTAAAAAAAATTCCTTCATATACGGAAGCTCTTTTCGAACTGTTTAGAGAAACAAATTATGGGTCTTAAAAACTAACGTGATTATTTCTATAAAAAAATAATAATATTTTAAAATAACACATTTAGTCCCTAAATTATACTCTTAGTGATGACTCAATACCTAAGTTTCAAGGGCATATCCATATTTTAATTTTCCTGTTGGTCCTCGACGTTAGGAAGCCACAAACAATGTTAAATTCAATGGAAAATATGTTAAAAAAAAAAAAAGCATCTAAACATAAAAGCAAAACGCATTCCATAAGTTTCGTGAAAGGATAGCCGAATGGTGAAACATGATTCTCGTACCAGAATGTCATTAGTTTGATTTTTAACAATGCTCTCTTGGTTGAGTCTGTCGTACTAAGTTTTTGTAGTGCAATTCAGCGAAGGGATTACTATATCTAACTCGCTCTACATTTTTATATGTTTTGTGTTCTGGTTTGCTTTAATCTAATTGTGTTTAAATTTTGTTCCTCAACATGATATACTTCTTTCATATTCGGATTTAGAGTTGTGTGTTTAAGTTCGTCCTTAGATTTCTTACTTTTGTTTAACTCAATCCTATTTAATGCTCAACCTTTTCTTCAAAGATCGATAATAATGACAAATTTCAGTAACTTAGCAAGAAATGAGAAGAAACAAACAGAAATTTGGAAGAAAATCCAAAAGAAATGAGAGAAGATATAGAAGAAAGAAGGAATAACAAGATTGCAAATTCATTCAACTTGATGGTTTAAATACATTCACTAAAATATAACCTAAAATAATGACAACAATTTTAGAAAACTCCCATGCATGTAGAGTACTTGTTCTAAATGGTGAGAGCATTAAGTGCCCTATAGTTAACACACAAGCCCTATCCCCAATCTTTCTTTGAAACAACCATTACAGAATAAGTAAAACTGGACTAACTAGGGGTAATGATTCTTTTCTCATGCATTATTTCAATCCTGAATAGAAGTGTATAGTTTGGTGACGAATTTCAAAGTTAGATAGACTTTATTCTTTGAAGATAACACTTTTTCTTCCTGAATTATATACTTATAGCACTTTTCTCCCCGAATTATATATTTATAGCACCTTTTCTCCCTGAATTATTCAAGTGATAATTTTTCTTCCTGAATTATTCAAGTGGCATGCAATTTCCCCCGATATGTTAAATGGACATATTTATCCTTAAAATAAATATTGCATTTATTTTTCTTCTCCAACAAATTATGAAAGTGATTTGGTTCAAACCATGCAGACACTATACCAACCAAACTGAAAGATTTCAATTACAGTTTAAAACCGGAACCCGTTATTTAGAGTTTATGAAAATCTTGAACTAGAACAGTCGGTTCATGTTCCGAACTGAAAAAAATAAAATACATTAATTGTTGAATTTAGACTATTTTAAAAATAAAAAGTATAATTTTAAAAGAAAATTTAAAAGAAAATTTGAACCAACAGTTCAAACTGAATCTGGAACCGTGAACCGGCGTTTCAAAATCAAAACCAAATCGCGATCATATATACTGAAACCCAATTATTTCGATTTATGATTTTAATAAACTGAAACACAAATAATGAATTCTGGTTCTAAATCATAACCGAAAACTTTCGATTCGATTGTTATAGTGTCTGGTTCAGATCAAACCGAACCGTAATCATTCATACGTTTAAGCAATAATTTGTTCTTTTAAGGCTGAACCCCAACCCTAAGGGCCCCCCATACCCGGCCCGACAGAGCGGTGAGAGGTTGTAAATCATGGTGACTCAACTGAACATTAATCACAGAGGCTAGAATAATTTGTTGGAGAAAAAAAATAAATAAAATATTTATTTTAATAGTAGGAATATCCATTTAATATTAGGAAAAAAAACACCACTAAAATGTGTGCTATTAACATATAATTTGTGGAAAAAAGTGCCATTTTCTCTATGACGAAACTGAGAAACTTGGATTAAAAAAAAAATGGATACAATTTATTTTGGACATTTAGAAGTTATTTGATTTCTTTTGCTATTTTATTCGTTAACTTGAGCCACACAGTCGAATGTATAAAAAGAAGAAGAAAAAAAAAATGCATATTCTCATAGAGGACAGCAAGACACAATGGTGGGGTCCACGATCCCAATCGTTTTCTTCTCTCTCTACTGAAAACCACCCAAAGTCTCTCTCTCTGTCTCTCTCTCTATATATTATGCTAGTTGGCTGTATTCCCACCCATTTACAATTCCCCTCTCTCTCTCTCTCTCTCTCTCTCTCCATCTCCAAAAGTCAGCGCCTTCTTTTGTCTCTTTTTCCTGCGTCTTCTCTCTCTACCAAAGTCAAAGGGATACACAAGAAATGGGGGATGATTGGGATCTACATGCGGTGGTCAGAGGCTGCTCAGCTGCTGCCGCCGCCGCTGCTGCCTCCTCGTCCGCAGCCACCGCCACCACCGCCGCTTCTCCTCTGTTCCAGCCGAGGCAAGACCAAGACTTGCTCTGCTTACAAGATCTGCTTGAATTTGGGGCGGCGAGAAATGAGAACAGACGCCGCTTTAACGACGACTTGCATGATCTCTACCGGCCTTTCTTCCCGCCGCCGCCGCCTCCGCAGCCGTCTCTGCAACGAACACAGCCGCCGCCGCCGCCGCTCTCCCCGCAGAGCACGCCAATCTCGCCCCTCTCTGTTCTCGGAGGATTACCAGATCTGTCTCCCTCCCACCAAATCCTCAAACCGCACATTTCTCCCGCGGCGACAATCATTCACCCCAAGAAACAGCCTTTCCCCGTAAATATTTCTTCTGCAACTAGTCCTGCTACTCCGAATACTCAAAGCCCAAGAAGCAAAAGAAGGTAATTTTATCTTAACCTTTTCTTTTTCCTTTCTCTTTTGGGTGAAAAATTGGAATTTTGTTTTTGAGTTTTGGTTTTGTTTTTGACAGAAAGAACCAGTTGAAGAGGGTGTGCCAAGTTCCTGCTGAGGCTTTATCTTCTGATGTGTGGTCTTGGAGAAAATATGGGCAAAAACCCATCAAAGGCTCCCCATACCCAAGGTAAGAATGATTTATGGCAAGAAAAAGAATGATTTCTGGAGATAGATGTTCTTAGTTTCTTGTTGGTTTGATTAATTTGGATTTTTTTTCTCAGGGGTTACTACAGATGTAGCACCTCGAAGGGGTGTTTGGCCAGAAAACAAGTGGAGCGGAATAGATCTGACCCGACTATGTTCATCGTCACCTACACAGCAGAGCACAACCACCCTATGCCTACCCACCGGAACTCGCTCGCCGGCAGCACCCGCCAAAAGCCGGCGGCGGCCTCCTCCGGGGATACCATGAAGTCCGGCGCCTCGCCGGCGCCGGAAAAGCAAGAAAGCAGCAGGGACGATATGTTTGAGGACGAAGACGACGAATTCGGCGTCTCCAACATGGCAATCGATAGCATGGGCCCCGACGACGACTTCTTCGAGGGCTTGGAAGACCTCGGCGGTGATTGTTTCCCCGATAATTTACCCGGCCAGTTGCCGTGGCTCACCAACAATGCAACAACAACGGCGGCCGGCGGTGGTTGACTAGCTAAAAAAAGTAAAAGGGTGGGGGGGGGGGGGGTGTGGGGGTGAAGAAATGATGCTTTTCTTCTCTCTCACTTCTCTTTCGCTTTCTTGTAGTATCTTTTCTAGCCGTTAGAGATGGGAAAAAAACTCGAAAGTAGAGTAAGGGAGAGACGGAGACAGAATCGGATAATCACAATGTTCTCGTACGTGTTAACGTATGATTGTGAGAGGATTATAGATGTCAAACAAAAAAGATAGGTTCCCATTTTTTTTTTTTTTTAAATTTCGAAAAACATTATTCCGTCTAGGTAAAATTCCTCCTAATTTTTAGCCTTTGTTAGTGGTATTATATTGTGTATGATCGATTGATCGATCAGGGTACATAATCTTAAATGTCATTAGGTGATGTTATTTCTGGACAATCATGATTGTAATCAATTTCTCAAACAGCTTTTCATAATTCATGCCCTTTTTGGTGTTTGCTTAATCATGTTTTGTGTTCTTGTCATAAATTATGTCACACTAACTTGTGTCAATGTTGAGTCCCAAATGGTATCTTGAGGAGGATATATGCTTCAAATTGGGTTGAAGCTTAGCTTTTACCATTACAATCAATGTCTATTCCCCTTCCTCAGATCAAGATGGAATAATTGTAGCATTGTACTAGAAGCTCCAACCACCTTACTATCCCAAAGAATATGTATACAATAGACAACTTGTTGCTAGATGCATGGCTTATTCTAAAATTATGGTATGACGTTTATTGGTAATAGTTTTTATTTTACGTGAAATTTTATCATGCACTGTGTTATTTTATGTTCGGTTAAGTTATTTGCTCAGATTATTGGCTTTGCTAACTACAAGGTTTCAAATTTAACTTCTAGTGAGAGTGACTTATCAATCTTATTGGTCTGAACTAGTTGGCTATAATAGGCAACCCTTACTCATTTACTTGTGAATTGTGATACTTTACCTAGTATACACTTGATAAGTGATTAATTGCACTTAATACTAATACCATGTTTATGGAGATTTTGCTTGTATCTCATTTACTTTGGTGAAATATTGTGTTCAACTCATTAATATTTGATTTTTAGAAATTTATGAGCAAATATGGCAAACTATGCAATTTGTGACATGTTGAGCGTATTTTTATCCTATCTCTTTTATGCGGAGCCCAATTGAAGTGTTAATAAAAATACAATGAAGTCCCCTACACCTCTTATGTTAAGAGCTTTCAGAGATTCAATACAAATCAAGGCCGAAAAATTGAGAAGACTCTGACACGCCCCAAGGACACTACCTTGCAATATGTTGAGAGTATTTTTATCTTATCTCTTTCATATGAAATCAAACTGAGGTGATTCAAGTGTCCATTGGAAAGATAAGACAATCTTCTACAATTTTCATGTTCAGAATTTTCAAAGATTCGGAAAAATTAAGGTTAAAAAGTGGATAGATTTTGACGCACCCAAGAACACGACCATGCGACATGTTGATAGTATTTCGGTTATATCTCTTTCATATGAAGTCGAATTTAGGTGATTCAAGTGGCCCTAGAAATCTAAGACAGTCCTCTACAACTTTTGTGTTCAAACTTTTCAAAGATTCAACCCAAAAAATGAAGAAAAATGTAGACAGAAACCGACATGCCCATGGACACGGTTGTGTTATTACAGGGCGTGACGACATTTGGGAATCTATTTAAGCCGCATTTTTAACCCTTTTGAGCAACTTTTTTCAACACTAGACTTTGGAAAACATTCCAATACACTTTTTAGGACTTCAACCACTCTTGGAAAGGCATCTTTACATCTCAGGAAGACTTGGAATCAAGATTTCTTCGTGGATTAAAGGGGTTTCTCTATGCTCTTCCATTCTTTTATTGTTTCTTTGATTTCTTATGTTTGCCTCCATGTTACAAGCTAAACTCTGTGGTAATTGACATTATGATGAACCCTACGATGAATCCATTGCTTAATTGCTTTCTTACCATAATACAATCATGTTATTTATTGTTCTTGAATTAATAAATGTCGGTTTATTAAATTCTTGATTAATACACATATTTTGCGATAGAGATATCCTTTGTATGTGTAGATCTCACATGATTGAAAAGATGGATTGCAACCATAGAGATGGAATGATATCAGTCAGTGGTCTTTCATTTTTATTTTTAATTGAATCATCACCAGATATTTAGACTAGATAATAAAATCACGACGATTACTAGTATTTATAGTCATTGTGGGATACACATTCATTACTCAACCTTCTATAATCTATACTAAAAACGATTGATGAACTTGCCTAATCAAATTTGTATAGTTACAAATAAGGTATTAACACCTTCAAGTAATGACTATAAGTTTCTCTAATCACCAAATAAAGAAAAGTTGTACTCTTTTAGCACCTTTAGCAAAAAAAGAGAAATAATTCGAAAAGGCAAAAAGCATAATGGCATAAGATTATTGTAAGTTAAATGTCGAAACAAACCTAGAAAAAAAATCATCATAAATTTACAAGAAATAGTAGGGGTGAGTGCAGAGTAGATATGAGAGGATTTGGAGTGAACCCGAGTCTAATTCACTAAAGGTAGATAATTGAATATAATCCAATATAATTTGCTAATGGCGGATTGCATTTAGGGCTGTCAAAGTGGGTGAAAATCCGCGGGCTGGCCTGCACCCGCCCCACAGTGGGGCGGGTTAGGGCCACCAAAAAATAGGCCCGTGAAAACGCGGGCCTAACGGGCTTAGCCCGCGGAGGGCCATAGCCCGCACGGGTAAACTCGCGCGGGTTGCGGGCCTACCCGCGGGCCAAGCCCTTTAAAAAAAATATCTGTATATATTATATTATATAATATATAAATTATAAAATATAATATAACAGTAAAGAAACTGCTTAAGACTAAAGAAAAGAGGTAAAACCTAAATTTCTAATCCTAATCCTAATTGACTACTGTTTACTGTCTCTCTCTATATATAATATAATATAATTGTTTAAGACTAAAGAAAAAAATCTCTAATCCACTAGGCAACTTTTATTTTTGTTTTTATTTTGTCTTAAACTTATAAAGTTTATTTATAATTAATGAAATGCATTTTGGCATGCAGGAATATGTTCCGCAGTACGATGAAATAGTGTCCAAGTTGATCTGGGAGGAGGTTGGGATTGAAGACTAAATTAGGGGCCTCAATATGTTTTCCTTTCAGTCACAGAAGAACAAATCCTAGAAGAAGAAGAAGAAAAGATGCTTATTAGACATTTTTTATTTTTTTTAAATTTTAACACCAGCCCGCGGGCCAACCCGCGGGGCCCGCAAGCCCGCATGGGGCGGGCTTGGGTTGTATATGTCCTAGCCCGCGGGCTTCGCAGGCCGGCCCGCAAAAATCCGCAAAAAGAAAAGCCCACGGTAGGGCGGGCCTAATGGGGCGGGCCGACCCATTTTGACAGCCCTAATTGAATTATGCATCCTAAGTTTAAAAATAAGATAAATTACAATACAAGAATTCGTGTATTTAAAAATCAAAATAACAATATATTTTTTTTTTTTTCAAATATCCCATTAAAAACAAATACAAAATATAGGAAAAATTGCATTTTTGGTCCCTGAGTTATACTCAAGTTTCAACTTAGTCCCTGAGTTATGACTGTATCCATTTTTAGCCCCTCAGTTATAAATGAAGTGGCGCATTTGGTTCCCGACCATTAAAACTGACGAAAAAATTATAAAATATTTAAAATTTGAGGGGTAAAGTAGAAAATTCACATTTTATTCTCATTCTTATATCAAAATCACTTTCACAATATTATTTTTCACTTCTTAGCCTCTTATTTCAAGATTGTTCAATTCTAAAAGCATTTCAATAACTTTAGTATGACTTGTTAGGAAACTGACTCTCGTATAACAAACTTAAGACTTAGAACAAACAAAGAAACACTTGATCATTGTCTTCAAACGTGTGAAACACACTATCATATCAATTTTCAATTTTCTTTACTAAGCAACAAAGGTAATCAAACAAGAACTTTTGAGATACAAAATGATGTCAAACTTATTAGCTTGCTTTTGTGAGAAATTCACCAACGAAATAACTTGAGATTTTTAGTATGTAAAATTTTTTCATATGGATTAGTTTAGTCAAATAATCGTTTTTAGAAGTTACAAAAGTTTTTAGAATTTTCATAACTGAGTCTTAGATTCCTCATTCATTACTATGGTTTTTAAGAAGACAGAGGAGGTGATGGATATATATAAAATATAATTTTCATATATTGTTAGGATATACGATTCTTGATTAAGTTAATGCAGAGCTTACGAAAGAATTTTACGTACTAAAATATCAAGTTACTCCCTTGGTGAATTTGTCATAAAAATATCCTGAGAAATTTGATATCTTCTTGTATTTCAAAAGTTATGGTTTGATTACCATTATGTTTAGTAAGGAAAATCAGAAACTTTTTGGATAGTGTATTTTACATGCATGAAGACAATGATCAAGTGTTCTCTTATTTGTACTGAATCACAGATTTCTTATATGAGACTCAACTTACTAACAAGTCATATGAAGATTATTGAATTGCTTTTTGGAATGGAAGAATTTTGAAATAGAATGCTAGGAAGTTGAAAATAACGTTGCAAAAATGGTTTCAATATAAGAAAGTGAATAAAATGTGAATTTCTTAAATTACCTCTAAAATTTGAAGTATTTTTTTTTTAAATTTTTTCGTTAGTTTTAACGGTCGGGGACCAAATGCGCCACTTCACTCATAACTGAGGAATTAAAATGGATACGATCATAACTGAAGGACTGAGTTGTCACTACCACTATAACTCATGGACCAAACTCGCTATTTTCTCATTTTAAAAATACAAATACTCATTTCTACTAAGTACTCATTTCTACTAAGGGTCCGTTTGGAAAGCAGGAAAATGACTTCTGGAAAATGAGTCATTTTTCGGAAAACATTTTCCTTTCCAGTGTTTGGTTGCATTCTGAAAAATTGTTTTTGTGTGTTTGGTTCATTTTATGGATAATGAGTAGAATTGTATAATTAAATATTTTAATTATGTTATTTAGAATATTATAACATGTATAATAATATATAATAATAATTTTAAATATAATAAAAAATAACTAATAATATATCAAAAATATTATGGTGGTGGTGGTGGTGTAGTGGTAGTGGTGTTATTTGTTATATAATAATAATAATAACTAGTAATTCACCCGCGCGATGCACGAAAAAAATTATATTATTGTAAATATAAATAAAAAATAGAAAAACTAAAATATTTTAAATTGTTTAATATAATAATATTTTGAGCTTCCATTCGTCAAGTATTTATTATTTTTATAGAATACAAAATTAAAATTAAAATTAAAATTTTGTATGGTTAATATAATCTCTAATTATGTGCATATTCAAATAAACTTATGGAGAGAATTTACATAATTACATTGATTTATTCTTAATTGTATT